GAATTATTATTTTATGATATTTTCAATGGTCAAATCACACACTTCTGGTCTGGGAAATCTGAAAACTTTCTAGAGAACAAATTAATTAATATCATGCTATAATATACTAGTACTTGTGTCCGTTTTCTTCATGTAAAAAATATGATTTCTTTTATGTTTATAACTTACATTTAAACATTTGACTCTTTTTAGATAATAAAGTTACAAATAAGCAGAATAATTACTGAAATGGAATGTTGACATTTTCTGTACACTTTTTTCTAATATCAACTTTTGCTGCAACTCACAGCCATTCTGGGTGAAGGTATTTGCTTCCTGCCTTTTGAGGGCATTATTATCAGAGAATTATTTGGTTTTAAATATTGACCCATTTTGCAGTTCTCACAAATAAGTAAACTGCATTCTAATATTCATTAATTTTTCTATTTTATGGAAGAATACATACTAAATATAGCCAAAAATACAGGCTGGCTTATAATATTGCAACAAGACTTAAGTGAACACTGAAGTACGGTAAATCTTTTCGTTAACAGGAAAGTAATTCAGAGGTACAGCTTCAGAATGAAAACAAGAGTCTTTCAAAAAGCAAAGGAGAGCCAGGCACAGTGGCACACGTCTGGCATCCTAGCTACTAGGGAGGTTAAAGCAGGAAGACAGCAAGTTTGCACCAGGCTGGGCAACTCAGTGAATCCTTGCCTCATAAAACAAAAAGAGCTTGGGGATGTAGCTCAAGGATGAGTCCTGGGGGGGGTAGGAGGTGAGGGAGGTAAAGGAGAGCTCTAAGCGTACTGTGTTCAAAGGATTTAATGACTTTCTACACATAGTTGTACACATTTAATACTAATGTAAAAAAATCTGGACCTTTTTAATTAAAAGCTGATAACTTAATAAAACATGGCTATTCAGAAGCTTTTTGCTTTTTAAATGCATACTAAGCCCTTCTACATCCATGGGTTCCATATGTCTGGATTCAAACAAGAATTAAAAATATTCAGAAAGAAATTATATCTATATTCAACTGTTTCAAATCTCATTATTCACCAAATGACACTATATAACAACTATTTACATCTCATTTACAGTATATTAGGTATTATAAGTAATCCTGAGATGATTTAGAGCATATGGGAGGGCTTGCATAGGTTATACACAGTACTGCACCATTTTCTATGGGACTTGAGCATCTTTGGATTCTTCCTAATTGAGGAGGGTCTTGGAACCAATGCCCCATGGAAATCGAGGGAGAACTGCATTCGTGTTTCTGTATTGGGGGTTGGCTATAGAAATTAAAGTGAGAGAAGAAGGGGAACAGGGAGAGACAAAGTTTTGAAATTCAGATTTCCCTAATCATAGAATTATTCGTAATTTAGTGGGAACAGATGCAGCCTAAACAGGAGTTTGAAATTGTTAGGGAAGACAAAATTAAATATATTTGAAAAGACCTAATTTCTTATTTTTTATGTTATCCTGGAAGGTTTTTTTTTAAAACTTTTCTTTTAAAAGGAATAATAGGCCCCAAGCCTACTTACTCCCTTACCAAAACATCCCCAAATAATAAATACCTTTGGTATTGGTTATGGGAAAAAGTATGCTTCTTAGAGGCGTATCTCAACAACTCCTTTTATTCCTGCAACTTTCGGTAACAATATATATTTTATATATTTTTTTCAGTCAATAACAGCATGATCATGGTGAGTATTTAGGTGGCCCAAAGGGTGGAAACTGCTCTTTGGGGTAATTTAAAACTAGGCAACATTTTGAAAGATCAAGAGCATTTTCTTTCACTCTATATTCCATGCATTTTATTTTTCTTTTATTTTTTAATCCATTGCATTTTCAATTGGCTAAGATAGTTTCTATTTTTCATTCAGAAACTGTTGAAAAGCATGTCAGATTTGCATTTCAACAAGGGTGGCAGTCATTATCCATGCATATCACTTTCAATAAAAGTTGGAAAATTAAAAATATTTATTTTGATAAAATACACAATGTCTTTTTTTAAAAAAAATATTTATTTTATAATTGGACACAATACCTTTATTTCACTCATTTATTTTTTTACCTGGTGCTTGCCAGACAAGTGCTCTATCAATGAGCCACAATCCCAGCCCCGCCCCCATGTCTATTATTATTTAAAAAATACATTCATTTACATGTTAATGAAATTATCTCAAGAATTAAAATCTTCTCAAATGTACTTAATTTTTATTACCATACCAATCCAAATATTTGTGAGCACACTTTGTATTTAACACTGAGCTCAACATTAGCAATTTAAAGTAAAAAAAATACAGGCCTGCCTCTTCCGTTTCCTGGGGGAGATGACAGATAAAGCAACATGTACTAGAGTTTGATACAGGACAGACAATGGACATCTAAGGAGGTATTTCTATTCAAAAAGTAAATGGTGACATTTTAAACTTTTTAAACATTTTTAACTTTTTGAGGGATGGAATGAGGGGAAAAGTTCAGAGAAAACCAAAGGTAACATGTTGAATGGACAACTAGAATTCTATCAACACCCTACAACTTATTTTTGTGTTAACAACCTCCCGAACCAGGGTTGGAGATTTACCAAAATCAGAAGTCTCTACCTGTTAAGCATTTAGTTTTACAACAATCTTGATTAAATTTTTTTTTCCACCTAAGGTCTTTCGGCTTCCTTTGTTTTTAACCCCCGCACAAGAAGTATATTCTCAGTAGTAAGGACTGTTTAGAAGGAGGTAGTGTCAGGGAAGCAAATTCCAGTGAATTGCTCCCAATAAAAACTAAAGTTGCTCTAAGTACATGTATGAAGACACGAAATCTACCTTTCGTACAACCGAGATATGAAAAATTGTGCTATATATGTGTAATATGAACTGAAATGTATTCTGCTGTCATATATAACAAATTAGAATAAATTAAAAAAAAAACTGAAGTTGCTTTTGTAGAACTATGCTCAGAACCATAAAGTATATGTTTAGAATTTCAGGTGACATTTTTACTTTTCTAGCCCTAACAGGCATTCTTCATTTACTATTTCACCTGTGTTGCCACCATGACCAGGTCACCTTGCCTTTTAGGTCAAAGCTGTAGGGCCACAGCTTGGACAAAAAAGCCATCACTGCTTGACATAAGCTCCACCTGTTGAGGTCAGTCGGTTTACTGAACTAGCCGGCTCCAGGTACCTCCCTCCAGGTACTTATGGATTGCAACCACTCCCTTTATAGAGAAGAGCCTACCCTGAAGGAGCTAAGGCAGTTAGCTGCAAACATCTGCACCATCTGCTGGCTGCCTCGCCCCTGCCCGTCGAAGGGTGAGGGGACCGCATGGCTGCCATAACTGCATTGCACAAAAGGCAACACCTATCGCTGGGAGCCACCGCCTTTGGTGGGGCCTGGGAGCTTCCGGCGTTGGGGTATTCTCTGAAAGGGCGAGGGCAGCGCCCGCCGGGGGCAAGCCCAGGTGAGGCCACCGGGAGCAGGGCTCCGACACGAGCAAAGGAAGAAAGCCTGACTCATGTCGTGGCAGCGGCGGGGCTCCTGGGAACTAAAACTCGTGATGCTGTTGCTGCGGAGAAAAGCCTCATTAGCCATTCCGCAGGCGGGGGACACCACCCAGGGCGCGCATAGTCGAGACCCGCG